AGCTGTCGCAAATATATTTCAAACTAAATTTCAACTCCCAACAGATGCAATAAAAACATCACATGAAGTAGCATCTCTGAAGACTTAACAGACCTCACCTAAGTTCAAATTAATGTAATTATTGAGTCTCCAAAATGACTTATTTACAAAGACAAGGATTTTTTAGTGAAAGAATCAAATGCTAGAAACAAGAACATGAAAACAATCTGCATTCACTGAATTATAGGGAGAGAAATTATGAAAACTCCAAGAAAAGAAATTAACAATTTAGTAAACAAATTTTTTATAGAACACTTACACAACATATTAAAACTAATCCTGTTTTAGGCCCCAAAAACACATTTTGAGTTTCTGGCAGAAACAGGCTTAAATACTAAAAGTTTACCAGGGTCTTTTATTTTAATTTCTTTAAGTTTTTCAATGAGCTTGCAAAGTTTATTGCTAAATTATAATTCACCATCAGTTCCTTTTTTTTCAACACAAATTCACAGTTTATAGTCTGCCCTTTCCTTCAGAAGATTGTGACAAAAATAACCACATTTTTTTGTTTAAGTGATTTTAATATTCTGTGCGCTTTCTAGTGTTTGTTAATTTCAACCTCAAACAAGATTCAGGCAACAATTACAATTACAAATCAAAATCACAATATTTTTAGAATGGTTGCATTAGTGGTTCTAACAAAGACGATATGGTACAGATGTGTCATTCCTCTCACAAATGGTATCTTTGCAGCATATGAATCACCATGGCAACACAAAGAAAACAACAATATGGTCTTGATATGTGAGATATGCAATTGATAATGGAGAACCATATGTACATAACTCTGTGCACATGTCCTTTGTATATCGTGATCTCTGAGTCTGGTCTTTCAAACTAAAAACCTTGACACTTGTCCCCACATATTCTGTAGATTCTATTTTCAGTACAGAGAAACTGAAACTGTCTGATAGGGGGGAAAATACCAGTGAGCTTAGCGATGAGTGAAAGAGGTCGTTTCCTGAGGAAACAACTTTTTCCTATTCACACCTACAAGCACAGTTTGAACAGGATACCATGGTTACAATAGTTACCAAGCAAAGAGTGACGGGAATTAACATAAAACTATAAAAAGATAATTTCTCATTAAAGATTTGCAAAAGGAATGATAACTAGAATGCACATCTACCAGCATCCTATATAGCACTGATCCATTCTCTTTCAGCAAATGTTGTTGTTGTTATTACAATGTGAAACCATACTGTGTTAGTTCCTTCAAAAGGAATCGTCGAACCATTGAGAAAAACTTGTTGACAAGAATATGTTTTTAATCCAACAAGAAGTTACGAAAATGATCAAAGACAAAATAAAACATTATTATTGTTGTCAATCTCGGTAGTACCAATCCCGAGTGAGCACTTGTATGTTGCATTGAATGTTTCAGCATTCTGAATTACTACTTTTTTAAGTATATTATTAGGCATTGTGTAAAAAACATTCCATTGCCAGGGCTTCAACTGCCCATAGATGTCCAGCATGATTTTGCCTTGGTTCCCTACAAAAATATATACTTTTATAACTATATTATTTCTATACCTTGAAGCAATGGTATCTGTTTTGTCTTCTAAATTTTAGTTTGAGTTGTGCAGGTAATAATATTATAACGGTAAGTTGTGCAAATTTTGTTTGAGAAACTAAACAAACGTGGTTAATTAATCACAGGAATTGATCTAGAAATGAACA